TGGGAAGGCAGTGTGCACAATTTAAAATTATTTTGAAATATACAGGGTGTTTCAAAACTAAGATCCATACCAAAGTTATATTTTTTCTTATTGAACACCCGGTATTTTCTTCCATTTTTGGATTCTTGGACATAAAATAAGGCATTTATTATAGGGGTTTAATATGCTTATGCCCACTTGCACCGTTTCTATAAACTTTGTTTAAAGGCTAAACAGTGATTAACTATAATAAAATATCATATAGTTAATCACTGTTTAGCCTTTAAACAAAGTTTATGCAAACGGTGCAAGTGGGCATTAAAAGCTTTGGTTTTTGAGATATTTTAATATGCATGCTATAATAAAAAAGTTTGTCAACCCCTGTACATTACTTTTCAGAATTAAGTCTTGTGCTGACTTTCAAGCCAGAGAAATAAACTTTATTAAAATATTTGATTGCTTCCTTAAATGTATACAGGGGTATCAAAAATTGCTGGTCTATTTTAAATATTTATTTTACATAAAAACTTCGTAATTTCAAATGCAACACTAGGTATTTTTTAAATAAGTCGAAACAGATTTAAATTCTCTTTCAAACTATATTAGGGTTTCCTATACCTATGTGGCTCAGATTTTGAATAAAAAGCGATTTTTCAATAAAATTGTAATCAAGATGACTGGTGACATTGGTTTGGTTTGTATGGACTTTATATACATTTATAACAGATTATTTTTATTTAATTTATCTACAACAAGGTTAATAAGTAAGTATTTATTATTTTACCAAGAAAAATGAAGCAGTATCTGCTGGCGGAAGGAATGGATATGTTACTACTTACTGAAGGGTTTATGCTCAAAAATATCCAAATAGGAATTATCTTGACAAGCGTTCCTTTGAAAAACTACTTTTCCTATTTCGCAGAGCTGATAGTGTGGTATATATGAAAAACCTATTAGGCAGAAACCTGTCGTTGGAAGTGAAGAAAATGAATTTGCCTTAATTGGTTCTTTTATAAAAAATCCAATATATCTACAAGTCATCGTAATATAAATGAAAGGACTACATCTCTATTTTTCTTGATAAAATAATAAATACTTACTTATTAAACTATTCTAGGTAAATTAAATAAAAGTAAACTGTTATAAATTTAAATAAAGTCCATAAACTAATGTCAATTTTGAAAATAGCTACTAATTGTCACTAACAAATTGCCATGGCCACACCAGTCATCTTGATTGCCATTTTATTGAAAAATCGCTTTTATTCAAAATCTGAACCAGATAGGTATAGGAAACCCTAATATAGTTTGAAAGAGCATTTAAATCTGCTTCAACCTATTTAAAAAAAATCATAGTGTTGTATTTGAAATAACGAAGTTTTTATCTAAAATAAACATTTAAAATAGACCAGCACCCCTGTATACATTTAAGGAAGCAATACAATTCTTTGGTAAAATTTATTCCTCTGGCTTCAAAGGCAGCATAAAAATTAACTCTGAAAAGTAATGTACAGGGTGCTAAACAAACTTTTTTATTATAGCATGCATAATTAAATATCTCAAGAAACATTAACTCTCTTTAATTTCATCTCTTTAAACATATTAAACACTTATAATAAATGCCTTATTTTATGCCTAAGAAACCAAAAATTATATAAAATACCAGGTGTTCCATAAGAAAAAATATAGCTTTGGTATGTATCTTAGTTCTGACACATCCTGTACATTTGAAAATAATTTTAAATTATGCACATTGCCTCTCTACATATACCTATAATATTTGTTTCCACATCTTTCCGTTTTCGTATAATCAACCGAGGCGAGTGATTAGGCGTTATATTAATATAACCGAGGCGAGGCGTTATATTAATTATTTTTATTTGATTTTTGCATAAAAATTGTTTGTGTATTTTAAAATACTAATAAATTTACCGCTACAGAAAGACTGGAATGATTTTATTTACTAATAAAACGAAATGATTCGATCGCTAATTTTACGATTTATACTTGATTGACTCATCATTCTTAGCAGAGAATGAAAGTGAAAATTTGGAAAACAGTTTCCGGAATTAGTTTTAGTAATTTATAGTTAATTAATGTGTGTCAATTTTTAAAAGAGAAAGGTTTGGAGTCGTATAGCTCCTGTAGATTTTATGAAATGCATAAAATTTTATTTTAATTTGGAAAAGGTAAAAGAAAAATAGCTTAAAGGGGTTAAGGTTTTAAAGCGGATATAGGGTGTTTATTTTTTATATTGCAAAAATCTACTGATGTATTTTGCAGTAGGTACATTTACATTTACATTTATACATACATAGGTTTTATTGTAAAAACTACCTTTTTTAATTATAATTATACAAAATATTTATCATTATTGCTGCTATCGTATAAACAGGGTGTTTCAAAATAAATGGCATGAACCCTATTCAATATCAACCATTAGGTAGATATTGTAGTACAAATATGGCTGAAAAATAATGTTTTTAATTCTTAAAAACTTAAAAATATTTTCTTTTAAATCTTAAAAATAAATACCGATAGAATAATGAAATTGTACGTATTACTACTGTAAAAAAACTATCTGTACAGGGTGAGTCAACGATAGAGTAAAGTCCATTATCTCATTTGTTTCGAGGTTTACAAAAAAATATTAAATATAAAAGTTATAGAGATGGTTAAGATACACATTTTAAAATTATTATACAGTATACAGGGTGCTTCAAAAAAGTGTGGCGAATATAATATATGTTTTTTTAAATGCAACACCCTCTTTTTTATTCTATTTTTAGATTCTGCGTAAAATTCCATAACTTTTTTATATATAATGCTATATACCTAAAATTAATAGTTTTTGTTATATTTAAATTTATTTAAACAAATGTTAGATTGCAATGTGATGAAAAATTGTCTCAATGATGGCATTGATTCTGAAGTTGGACAACTAAAATTTGGTAGGTGAATTTTATAGAGATATAGAAAAAGACCTATGTAAAGATATTTTAGTTAGATGTTACAGGGTGTTTAAAATATATTTATGAATTTCAACTACTTAAAATTAAGAAATTTCATTTTTTTTTATAAATGGTACACCCTATATATTATCATTTTTTCTGATAGATTTTACAAAACTCTTCAACTTTTATTAAGTATGTTATATACCTATTTTTATTAGTTTGCAATTTATTCCAATTTTTTCTATTTTTACCGATATTTTTAATACAATTGCGCTATAACATCATAGTTGCCACGACAAAAAGTAACAATTATAACAATTTCATGTCTGTTAAGCAAGTTAAGAACAAAATTTGAATTTTAGTTTAATTTGTTGTAATAAGTATAAATGGTAGAGATAATAGTTACAGATTTTCTTGAAATGAATTAGTCAATGTTACTGATATACACAGACAAGCCTAGAAAACCACATTTTTTGATTCAGTACTATATATTATATAGTACTTTGCTAACTACTATAACAATAGATGTATATTATCTAGAAAACATCTTCAGTGAGTAATGGGACGGTTTCGCTAATATTGGCTATACCAAATGAAATATAAAGCAGAATTACTACGAGAAAAAACTTTACTCTATGTCGAAGAAAATTTCTATATTAGTAGTCTTCAGCAATTAGGTAATCTAGTATTACCCTAATATGTGGCTATTCGCCCCGACGAAAAATCCCGAGTGTCATCTTTCATAACATAGAAATACACCAAGAAATCCACTACTTCGATTTAGTTTATTTGAGTAAAGTTAATTAACTTTAACTAACACCAGCAATTATAACTAACTATGAAGCTACTTGTTAAAGGTAAGTAATAAATAGTTTTATTTTGTCATGGTAACTATGAATTTATAGGGTAATTGTATTAAAAATATGGGTTAAAATAGAAAAAATGGAAATAAATCGCAAACTATTAAAAATAGGTATATGATATACTTAATAAAAGATGAAGAGTTTTGTAAAATATATTAGAAAAAATGATAATATATAACATTTAAAAAATTTGAGATTTTTTAATTTTAAGTAGTTGAAATTCATAAATATATTTTGAGCACCCTGTATCATTTAACTAAAATATCTTTACATATATCTTTTTTTTTCATCTCTATAAAACTCTCCTACCAAATTTTGGTACTAACTTCAGAAACAATGGCACCACTGACAATTTTTTACCACACTGCAATTTAACATTTGTTTAAATAAATTGAAATATTGCAAAAACTGTTAATTTTAGGTATATAACATTATATATAAAAAAGTTATGGAATTTTACGCAGAATCTAAAAATAAAATAAAAATTAGGGTGTTGTACACCTTGTATACTCTATAATACTTTTAAAATGTGTATCTTAACCATCCCTATAACTTTTGTATTAAACATTTTTTTGTAAACCTTGAAACAAATGAGATAATGGACTTTACTCTATCGTTGACTCACCCTGTATATATTTTCATTTATGCTTTATTTAATTATCACTCCTATTATGCTTATCGGCCTAATTTTAAGAAAAAGTTAAAGACTTGGACAAAATAGAATAGAATAAATTGAATAGCCCACAAAAGAGAAGATTTAGTTAACTAAAATAATGAGGATGGCCTGGTCATATATAAATTTTGAAAAGGTTAAAAATCACGGCAGTTAATAAGCAAAGATAAAAAGCCGTCATAGCTGTAGTGGGTCTACTAAGAGGGCGTGTTGGAAGTTTAATAGACATCTAAATCTGATTGACATATGAACTAGGGATGTACCGGAACGGAATTTGGCAGGATTACTGGAACCGGATTATCCGGCCAATAGCCGGACCGGATCACCGGAAATCCGGTCGCCGGATCGATATGGGAGGTCTGCAAGAATATTGGCCGCATACATGTTATTATGACATTGCTACACCCTCAACATCGACAGACCCTGAAAAACTATGGGCACTGGAAATGATTGAACAAAATCAAAACTGGAAAAATGTCATGTTTTCAGATGAAATACAAATATGGCCTAGTAGCGGATTCTCGACAAGTCCATGTCCGGAGGGCTCCAGGACGAACAAGCCAGATTAGCTATAGCTCATCCCCGTATCCCATTTCAAAGGGATAGTGTAATGTTTTGCGCTGGGATAATGAGAGATGCTTGAACACCATTAGTTATTATTGACGGAACAATGACAGGACGAGTTTACATTCAGGAAGTTCTGAACCCAATTGTGCGTTTATTCCGAGGGGCAGTTGGAGTAAATTTTGTCTTCGTTGATGACAATGCACCACCACACCGGACAGTGGAAGTGCAACACTTTTGTGACAAGGAGGGAATAATGTGTTTAAGATGGCCTGCTAATTCACCAGATATGAACGCAAAAGAACATTCTTGGGAAATAACCCGGCCCTAACTTTACGAGAATTAAGAGTCTATTACGCTGTACTTTCGGGTCGCTCTCAGTGGTCGGGTAAATGTCCGAAGATGGGTGTGTGGCCGAAGGAAATATATGTTATATTTCAGAAATCTGCCTAAGGCTTAGCCCGATCCTGTCGTGTTAAGCCACACCCAAAATTCCAAACACACGTGCTTTGATTAAGGCTTGATTAAGATTTGCAGAGCTTCAGCATTTGCCATAAAATAGCGAGCAATTTGTTACAATACCATATAAATTATATATCACTGTAAT